TTCCCTTCCCTCTATTCTGCACTTGACCATACATCCATGGACATTCTGTTGTGCCAGCTCTGCCAATCTCCACACCTTTTTTGTGAGCCAACTCAGCTTATCAATCCACTGTTTTCTCCTGGCTTAATGGATATAATTGTGTCATGGATGATCTACTGAGCTCTAGAGGAAGATAGGTGATTGGAGAGGAGAAAGGAGGATGTGAAGGATTTCCCTCTTCTGGTGAAAGTGAACTCTTACCACAGCTGATCCCTTCCATGGCACTCACGCTCCATGCAGCACAGAGTCCATTCAGCAGAGCACTGAATCATGTACTTGCTTTTAAGCTTGTGCTTTTTAGAAGAAAGGACACTGTATTAAATCATAGAAGGACTTTGGAGAGCTTTTACCCCCAGGCCTATCATCTGTCCTTTTGACTCCAGTAATTGTCAGTTTACTGCACATGATGGAGAACAGCACGTTGATTTTAGTTTGTGCACGTGGTGAAAATTTGCTGGAGGAGCTTGAGGGAACTGAGCAACCTTTGTAATACACAACTTCTCTCTTTTCTGAGACATTATTGAAAACTATACCATACTGTCACACAAATCCACAGAATTAGCATTATTCCCAAAGCAAGGATTTAACCATGACTTGGAGAGGGAGTTATTCAGCCAAGTAAGGATCCCCCCAGATAAGTGTGTCCTGCTTGTGACTTGTATCTCCACACTATCCATATATGCAGCTCCATAATCATGCCTTAGAAGAACAGCTTCAGCCATGGTGAAGGCACCAGTTGGTGTGGCAAAGGATGCAGCTTTGCAGCACTGTGATGCTGTAAGAGTTTGTTGGGCCTGGAAGTCCTTTTCTCCCATTCATACCTGTGCCTTTTCATCACTGTTTTTAAACTGGTATTAGTAAGTCTGATCTTATGGTGAGGCATTTTGGGGAGCTAAATTGATGGAAGACTCTTCACAGTTTCTGAAGGTTGCTTTTTCCAGAGTTTAGCTTGCTGTACTGCCTGTCTCCAAAGTAGAAAAGTGTCAGTGAACAACAGAAAGAGCCAGGAGATGGTGGTAGGTGGCTGGGAGAAAGGATTTGGGGCTGCCCCATTGGTGGTGCCTCACTGTTAACTTGGCTGAGCTGCACTGTAATGTGTGCCCTTACTCCTACAATACATCCAGCTTTCAAAACAGTCTGAATATACTCTTTTTTTTCAGATATATTTCTAAGGCTAGTCACAATAGAATTCGTAGACACACACACACACTTTGTAGATATAGTGCCACATTGTCTGGTTTTTAAATTAGATGCTGTGTTGTGGATGAACTATTACATCTCATTTTTATTTGGCTGTTCAGAGTCCTGAGTGCTATGAGGGTCACTTTTGAAAATTAAATAAGAACTCTGAAACTAAAAAAAAAAAAAAAAGGCAGCTTAACGTAATAAAATAGAATGCATCAAATATATATATAAATTACAATTCTTAGCATTATTCATGGATGTGAAAATAAAAGGAAAATACTATTTTAAACTGCAGTGTCACGTGTCTTTCTAACAGTTCCTTGTCTGTATGCTTATCTCTGAAACCCTTCAGGTAAATCTTTCCCAACCAGAAGTCCCTGGAGTTGCTTGCTCAGTTGTAGCCACAGTATAAATAACAAATGATAACAATTAAATTGGAAGTGCCTGTGGAAGAGTTTATACTCTGAACTGGTTGTGTCTTATTTTCCAGGCTATCACTACATCTGTTTGAGGAATGAGAGGAACCAACCTTTGACACTGCCAGCTCTCTTTGTGTACATAGAGGTCAAAGACTATGTACCTGATACTTATGCAGGTAATTCTGTGATATTTTCTTACTAGGAAATAAAAAGTGTTAATTGAAACACAAAATGAATGTGGTGTAGATGACTTGCCAGATTGAGATAACTGTCCTGTGAACAGACCTCTGCATCTGATGGATCATTATGCCTCATCACTCATACAACATGGTCTGATTTACAGCAGCCTGCCTGAGGTTTAGGATTAGGGCCAACTCTTTTATGTTGAGCAGACCTTGTATGACTCTAAAGGAGGAAATAGCCCAGGCATTTGCCATTGAAACACAAATGAAACTGCTTATGTGACACAGTAGTATGTAGTTGTTTCCTAAGCAAAGTGCCATGCTTAATGTAGAGCACTGTATTTTGGAATTGTCTCTAAACAGGCATAAGTTTAAAGACCATACTCTGCATCTTCAGTGAAAACCAGTATTCTTTATAGCTATTTTAATTTTTTTTTAAAATAGGATTTTCACTAATGCTCCTCTGTGCCTCAAGTGGAGCAGCATCCTAGTTGTCTGATGCTGTAAGCTTTGAAAATCAATCAGAAAACACTGTGCAGAAAATTAATATCCACAAGACCCAAGCACAGACTCAGAGTGTGTGTTATTTGTGCATGATGGTGTATGCTTGTTTCTAGGACCTAGGACTACCTATCAGCAATAGATCTGTAGGAAAAATACAATCTCTTTCTTAAAACCTGAGGCACTGGAACCATAAGGGGTTTGAAACTGAAGTGTTTGCATTATTTATAGATGTGATCGAGGCCTTATCCAATCCAATCAGATACGTAAACTTGATGGAGCAGAGAGCTAAGCAACTGGCCGCACTGACTCTGGAAGATGAAGAAGAGGTAAAGAAAGAGGTAAGGGAGGTTTCATAGTCTCTGCACATTATGTTATATTATTTAAAAGCACCTACTTTGTTTAGTACAAATACTGAAAGTCCCTGGGAATTGTATGTGTTGATTACCTTGTAAACATCTCCCCTAGACTGAGACTAGGGTACATCGCAGCCGAGAAGCATTGCGCTGTGTGTGTGATCTCACTGAAGGCAACGTGTTGTGCGTGTGGCAACTTACTGTTGAGAGGCAGAGAGACACCAAAAGCTGAATGAAAAACTGTGTTATGTGTATACTGATTCCCAGCTTTGTTAGGTAGTAAATGAAATCCTTGTAAGTCATTACCTATTGTTTTCCAGTGTGGTGCTGGAAGTTCCCCTTACAAAAAAGACAACACTGTGTCAGTAGCTTTTCCTGAAAATATTACAAAGTTTCCAGAATTGCAGACTCTGTTTCTGGAGAGGTTGTTCTGTGCAGAAACGTTCAGGTATCTCAGATTTTCATGTCTGTATACATTCACCTTGAGCAAATGTGCCGTAAAGAGACACAGTATAATCATGCGATAATTTAGATGGAAAGGGGTCTCTGGAGGTCAACTGATCCAACCCTTCATAGATCTTAGAAAGAGATGAAGAGGAAGGAAACCACAGGGTAAATAATTGTTCAGGTCATTCTTAGCTTAGCAGAAAGCTGTGGGAGTCACATTTTCAGTTGTTAGGTATCTATTTGGGTATGTATGATTACTTAAGGACTAACCTCTAAACACTATTCTTCTGTATAATCGGAAGTGTTGCACACACCATTGCACAGATGTTACTTTGAGCATACCTGAGAGTACTGGCAGTTTAGCTTTTATTTCTGATAATCTCTGTACATTCAAATGTTCAGTCTCTCTGTTCCAGGCATTGTCATTGGGATGTCTTCTAGCAGTGTTTGAAAGTATCAACCTTATATTTTAAAGATAGCTTGTGTCAGATCTTAGGCACATCATGTGAATCAAAAGGCACTTGGTACAGGTCTCTAGTGAAGATGGAGAAATGCTTTATAATCCTAAACCGTCCTCAGCTCTGGTGCCTGTCTTCTTCAATTCTCAGATGTGCAAAGCCTCACTGAACTAGATTTTGTAACCAAGAATACATTCCCAAAGCAGACCAGATGAGTGAAAGTCATTACAATTCAGTGGCCAACAATTTACTCTTTGTGCAGTGTCACAAGTTCGGCTGAATGAGGACACTGTGAAATGCTCAATAGTATCTTAGACATTTATCTAGGACACCCTACACATGAGATTCTATTTTAATAGCAAAGTCTTTTTTTAACAATCCTTTAAATACCTTAGAGGTCATTTTTACTTTTGAAAAAGTACAGATTTTCCTGATCTGTACAGGCTTATTTGTCAGTTAGAAAAATTCTATCACAGAGTATCTTCTAAAGCAAATGAGAAGAAGGAAAGAGGAATTGTAGTGCTCAGGTAGTACTACCATATGTCAAGGAGCTTGAAGCTCATAGGATAAAGGAAGTTGTTTGGGAGTAGCAGAGAAATATTTTATTAAAGAAAACTTTAATCATTGTAGTGGTGCATTTACGAAGAACATATATCCATTCAGCAAGGGACGGGGACAAAACTGCTGCTTGAAGTGGCAATCTAAATAGACCATTGTTACCTTCTATTTATAAACCCCCATTCTAGGGAAGATATTTGGCAGCTAGGTTGTACTTGGAAATCTTGAATTGCCTGACTGTGTTACGTGATGATAACATTTCCCTCATCAGTCAGCAGGGCTGACTGTGTTGTTCACTTAAATTGACCCATGAGAATGAGAATAACATCAGTTAATTAATGGCAAGTATGTTCACTGGCAACACAGTTAAATAAACTCAAGTATGTTTGCCAGATACGTACACAGAAGTGCACCTGGATTCATTTTTCCTATGTACAGTTTCAAATTTACACACAATAAATGTTTACGTGCAAAGCTGTGCTGTCT